GGGGAGAAAAGGCACAGAGAAGAAGAAGCATAAGTGGTAGGCATAAAATAGACAGGGAGAGATAAAAATGATATGGGGAACAGAGAATTCAGAAAACTTCTATGTACAACCCATGGACATGAACTAAGGTGGGGGGAATGCTGAAGAGTTTGGGGTGCAGGGCAGAGGAGGGATAAAGGGCGGAAACTGGGAAAACTGTAATAGCATAATCAATAAAATATACTTTAAAATAATAATGCATTTTTAAAAATAAAAATACATTTCCTGATTTGGATAACTGCACTGTACTTAGGTTAACAGCATGCCCTTGATCTTAGGAAATACCAGCGGAAGCACATGAACGTGAATGAGCCTGATTCTGCAATCTGTGGTTCATAAAAAACAGTAACAAAAAAGCGACATATGTATGTGTAGATATACAAATGTACACATAAGTATATGTCGATTAGTGTGCAAATGTGGCAAAATGTTAAAATTGGTAAATCTGGATAAAGGATATTTGGGAGTTGTACTAGTACTTATTTCAAGATAAAATTTAAAAAGTGACGAAAACGTACCTTACACTTCAGAAATTGGTGGTTGCCTCGAGAGGTTTCATTCCTGGATGACACTGCAGCGTCCTGGGGCAAGGCGCCGGTGACTAAGTTGAGAGGAGACGGAGTTTTGCAGTAATTCTTTCCACTTAGAGAAGAGCACTGGAAACGGACGGCCGGATGGGGGGAGTGGTCATTACAGCGATCACGTGTGAAGGGCACACGACCTCTACATTTCCTCTTCTTTGTCTCCCCTCCTGAGAGGAAAGAAATACCCACGTGCATGACGCCCACTTTCCATCAAAATCAGGCTCGATGTAGGGCAAGCATTGGCCTCACTGCCTGCAGACCTTTGTGTCCCTCCAGCCTTTGCTCCCCTTGGGGCCCTGGCTCCCACGGCTGCCTCTGCCTGGGGCAGCACGAGCCCCAGGCCACCCTGCACCCCTGCAGAGGCTTTCCCCGTCTCTCCAGGGCTGTGTCGTCCCAAACATCAGCCATTGGCACATGCGGCCAGTGAGCTCTAGCAATGCACCAGCCTAAAATGACATGTGCTACCCTGGACAGGCAGCTCAGTTGGCTGGAGCCTGGACGTGTACACCAAAAACGTTGCAGGTTCGATCCCCAGTTGGGGCATGAACAGGAAGCAACAGATTGGTATTTTTCTCTCACATCAATGTCTCTTTCTCTCCCCTCCCCCTTCCTCTCTCTCTAAAACCAATAAACATATCCTCAGGATTTAAAAATAAATAAAATAAAATAGCATGTGCTATAAGTGTGAAACACTGGATTTCAAAGGCTGCATAAGAATGTAAAATAGTTTGTTACTAATTTTGTATACTGACTACATGCTGAAATTGAGTTAAATGATGCATAGTATCAAATTACTTTCAACTGTTTCTCTGTACTTTTTTTTAACGTGGCCACCAGGACATTTTAAGTCTTGTATGTAGCTCACATTACATTTGTATTGGACATCACCCCAAGCCCTCCCTGTGCACCCCGACACACTTCTGCCACAGCAACTGCATGCGGCTCCACCTGGCCACCGCCTCCAAGTGCACCGCAAGCCCCATAGGGCCAGGGCCTTTCTCTCTTCATCCTCACCCTCTGGCATCGTGCCTGGCACAAAGGGTGTTATGGAGCTAATCATTTTGTTCTTTTTTAAAAAATCCTGGTGAAACTCACATAACATAGTATCAACCATTTTAAAGTAAAAACCCAGTGGCATTTAGTCCTTTCCCATGGTGTGCAGCCTCCAGAATGCTTTCACCGCACCCGAACAAACTCCCCAGCCCCCACCCCCAGCACTCCTCCTTCCCTCCTCCTGCAGCCCCCGGCAATCACCAATCTGCTTTCCGTTTGCTACGGATCGCCTGTTCTGTGTACTTCATATAAATGCAATCACACAATAGGTGGCTTTGTGCCTGGTTTCTTTCGCTTAGTATAATGTTTTTGAGGTTCATCCACATTTGAGCATTATCATTACTTCATTTCTTTTTCTTTAAGTTCGTTCTTCTACTCATAGTATTCCTTCCCACCTGGAATGCACTCTCCTCGTGCCTCCTCTGTGCTTGTCCAGTGTAACTCATCAGGCTGAAAGGGCAACAGACATTGGTGGTTTGGGGGTGCAGTGGTGACCAGAAGAGGAACGTTGACCTTCGCCATTCATTATCCCCTCTTTCCCTGAAAAGCTAGGGAAAATGTTTTGGTTGAAGAGTCATTTCAGAACTTAGTAAATCTGAAAATGAGGGCGTCTGATGACTTATTCATGCAGAGAGCACCCCGAGACCGAAGACCTGGCCGAAAACAGAAGTCTGAGTCATTTGTTAACGCTTAAATCTGAAAACCGTGACTCTGATTATAGCATGTTCGTTCAAAAGCCCATGTCAGGACAAGGCAAATCACATGAGCTTTCTCTCTCTTTGAACTGGTTCCTTTATCTTTAGTTTATTCTTGCCTTTCTGTTCTGCCAGATATCAAAGGCTTTGTTTCAACAAGTCTTGGAACATTTGAGAGGTACTTCCCATTGCTGTTGATATCACATACTCTTCTTCATAAATAGAATTTTTTGCTAAGTCACGGGCTGTACCACTTTGACAGGCAGAGTAATGCCCCCCACCCCCACAAAGCTGTTCACATCCTAATCCCGGGAACCTGTAAAGATGTTCTATGGCAAGGGGGAATTAAGGTTGCAGATGGAATTAAGTAGCTAATCAACTGACTTAAGACAAGGAAATGAATCTGGATTATCCAGGTGAGCCTCGTATAATCACTGGGGTACTTACAAGGGAGAGAGGGAGGCAGGAGAGCCGGCGTCAGGTGTGATGAGAGAGAGACTCCACCGGCCTGGCTGGCTTTGCAGCTGGGTGGGGGCTGTGCCCCAGGAAATCCGTGGAAGCCTCTAGAAGCTGGAAAAGGCAAGGAAACAGAGTCCAGTTCAGCTTCCCCGCTGACACTGACCTTGGCCCAGTGAGGCCCATTTCGGCTCTGACCCCCAGAACAAGACAGATTTGTGTTGCTTTAACCTCCAAGTTTCTGCCATTTGTTATGGTGGCAATAGGGAACCGATACAACAGCTGTTTGCAGAAGCTGGGGAGAAAAGAACCTTAATTTGTACTCTCTTGCTTAAAAACACCAGTTTGAACTGAGAAATCCCTAAAATGAAAGGTTTTTAACACCCCCCGCAAGTCCCCCTCTGCACGGCTGCTGCAGGCACTTCGTCTCAGGTGCTGCTCCTCAAGCTGGGGCTGGGGCCAGCACGAGGGGCTTCGGACACCAGGGTGCTGACCCGGAGGTCCGTGCATCCTCAAAAGCTATTACTTTCTCAACATCATTTCCAAACAGAAGAACCATGTCGATAACCCTGAGTGATTGAGATGGTTCCATTCTTTCAATGAGCGATTTCAAACTTAATTTGCAGTATGATTTTATTTAAGAAAGAAAAAAAAAACACCTTGAGGATCTTTCTTATCCACAACCACCCTGTGTCTGGTCCTACAAAGCAAACAGCTTCGTATGCTGCCGGCTGCCGATGATCACAGCACCTGTGACCGCTGGCAGTGCTTGCAAAGCAAGGACTGGCTGCTCCTTCGCCCCCCCCACCCGGCCGCCTGCCTTGGTGCCTGTTGCCCTGCCCTCCCCCCTCGGCCAGAAAGGGAAGAAGAGACAGACGTAAAGGAAGGTTTGGTCACTCTGTCTCTCTCCCTATTAATTAAGGTTTTGTCACCGAAGAGTTTGTCGCTTCCAATTGACTTAGCGGCGGAGGTGGTTCATCTGGCCAAAAGTACAAGCCAGAACCACTTACTAACAAAGGACAACGAGACTTAAAACAATAAATCAACAGTGAGCTTTTCCTATACTGGAGCTTTTTTTCATTCTAAAAGTTGCACGTTCGTTGTGAAGAGCAGACAGAATTATACAGATTACTCATGTAACATAAAACACTCCCATCATTCACGTGTATATGAAACCAGTGTTGTTTCCATCACGAATGTGCTCCCCTAGCTGTTTCTCCCCCTTCATCCCCACTTCCAAGGCTGTAAAAGGAGCTCCAAAGAGCTGCGTGGCCTCGGGGTAGGAGCTGGCCACGCCCTCCGCTCTGTGGGTTTCAGTCTCACAGACCATTTCCATTCCCGTCAACATGGCTGAAGCGTAGGTCAATAACCCCAAAATGATTCTCACCCCCACGGGGACTTTTGCATCCACTGAAACCAGTGATGTGGATGTGACTTAAAGAAAGGTCGCATGCAGTAGAGGGTTCACGTTGCCCAAGTTTCTGCACAGAGATAATTTGATTGTATAAAGTTCACGTTCCAGACAAGCTTGTTTTGACATTTAATGCCTGCTTTCTGTAACATGAAATAAACATGCTGTGTTTTCTGCACTTGACCCCGAGTGGCACAACACATGAATGCTGCGGCGGCAGCTACCAAAAATTATGCGGGTTGTTCCAAAAATTACATGGAATTGCACAGAGATCATAAGTTTGCTTTTGGGTAAGCTTCTCAACCACTGGAGGCCCGAGCAGCTGGTGGAAGCACCTTCTGGCACAGCAGATGTGATCCACATACGTAATCCACGATTTCGAGTGACTGGAAAGATACGTCCCTCACCTCCTTTGCCTTCTCGTGGGGGAAGGGGAAGGGCCGGCACCAGCCAGCACTGCCAGGAGCTGGCCATCTGCACTATGGCACAAGAGCCGTGACTGTGACATTTCAGCACGAGCTGGGTGGGTCGATCGGTACAGGACCGGCAGTGAATTGGTAATCAATGAGGGTGGAGGCCAAAATTTTATTGGGTGAAGTATATTAAAAGAGGGCCCAACGGAAAGGAAGTTAACTACAAACTTCTTTCACTAGAAATGTGGAATCACAACATTAAAAAAACAGTGTGCCTCTTAAAAGTGAATAAATAGAGGCCGAAAGGGAGTGAGTCAGAAGCACATGAGTTGGAAAGGGTTGAACTCAAGAGATCAGATCAGGCAATGCTGCTTAACACCATCACATGACTGGCCCCGAGGCCCGTATTTAATTGAAGTAAGGAGTGGGGCGCAGTCGAGGCCAGAAGCGCATTGTCCTTCTCAGCCGATGGAGCCAGAGGAGTTAAAAGTTAAGCCTTGATTGCTGGGTCTGTGAGAATTCATTCAGCATGAAACGTCTCTACTGTTTCCTGGGGTTTCTGCTTCTGGCTGCAAGACTGCCACTGGAAGCCGCCAAACGTGAGTAATTCTCCATTTCTGCATTTAACCCCTTCTCTGGCTGTCGGCTGAATGGTGGCCCATCAGAGCGATGTTGTCTGAGCCAGAAGCTGGACTCCGTGAAGCTCCTCAGGCTACTACGTTCATGCTCACTCATTTCTTCTTCTGGAAACTTGGGAATGTTGGAACCTCAGCAAAACCCCCCTCCTCCATTCTTTGCTTCAGGCTCTTGGAAACTAGTAATAACCGTGCAGCCTCTCTCTTACAGAGCGTTGTCTTTTTCCATTGCAATGGTGACCCACTCTTTGCCAGACAGTGGGAGGGTAGGAGTGTGAGGGAATGGCCTCTGGCCTGAGAACAAAGCAACGTTACCCACTGCACTTTGCCTGGTTCCTACCCAATAGGGTAGGGAGCTCAGATAAAATGGGGCCCAAACGCTATCAAAATCCCAACCCAGAAGCTGTTGCTAATCCTGCTGAGGCTTCTCCCCGGGCTTGCATGCATCTGCGGCTGCCACAGTGAGGCTGCTGAGAGCAGAGCAGAAGCCCAGGTCCCGACTCGAGTCATCCACTAGAGGTCAGGGACTTGTTGACAAGGCCGCTGACCAGACCCCTGAAATCAGAATCTTTGGAGGCAGGGTCAGAGTGCTCTTGCTTTAAAAGCTCCTCTTGTGATTGGAATGCAAAGCCAGAATTCAGAGCCACTAAACTCCTATGCAGCCCACGGGTCCGGTCCAGGGGGCAGGTGGTCTTGGCAGCCCCCACCCTCCAGCGGGAGTTAGGCTGGAGTAGGAGGACCGTAAATCACACCCCTCCCCCAGGAGGTCCCCTTCACCTTGCTTCCAAAGAGTCGGGACATCCACTGCGTGAAAAGCCCAAGAACCCTCATTCTGCCAGGCAACTTCCTGGGAGGTGGGGGCGCTGAGAAGGGACCAGCACCCACCTCGTCCCCACCAGGTGCAGCCTGTATGCTGGCTGCTTCCCTTCGGTCACTCAGGTGACCCCCACAACACCTTCGTGGAGCAGAGATTGTCCTCCCCCTGTTCAACAGGGGAGAGCAGCCATGAGTGTGGGTCTTACTGCTCACCTGCCCCCCAGCTCTGAGAGAGAAGGCTCTTGGATCCCCGGGCGAGAGGCCCATGCACACACCCTTCATGCCTCCTGGCAGGAGAGAAGTGCCCTATAATTAAACCGTCCTCGCAGAGTGGGTGGGATCTGGCGGGACTGCTGGGCGGGGAGAGGAGGTTCAGGAAACTGCTGGAAGAGCTCTGGTGGGTTTCCTTCCCCAGGGCAGGAGAGGCCCAGGCGGGTGAAAGGGGGTGCCAGGGAGCGCAGCTTCTGCAGTGGGGGCAGGGGAACGACACTTGGGGGGAAAGGGAAAGATTGGACCCCAGGCATGCCTGATTCTGCTCCAAGCAGCTGAGGCTGGAGGCTCCTCGGTGCAAGTCCCCCAAGATGCCTAGCAGCACCTCCTGGGACTGGGGCCGAAGGAGCCCATTGTCTTTGACAAGGGAGTCCAGACGCAGAGCTGCTGGCCTGTGTTGGCCTCACCTGGGGAGCCTGGCAGCATGATGGTCCTGTTTCCCAGGCCAGGGAACAGGCCACAGAGGTCAAGGAACTGGCCCCCGGCCGCGCAGCAGGTAGGAGGAAGAAGGCTGCTGCCAGGCAGACCGCTGCCCTTCCTGCGGTTGGACAAACCCAGCTCGCTGCTGGCTGTGGGGCAGGGCCGGGAGTGACTTAGCACCCGGAGCTTTCACTTCTTCTTTGGCAAAACTGGGTATGGGGTTCTTAAGCTATCAGCGAACAGTAGGTGCTTGGAGTGGGGGACATGCAAAGTAGCAATTGTCTTACCTCAATGAACCTCCCGGGACAGGCTCCCCCTGGAGTCTGCCCTGCACAGATGGAGGGACAGAGACCCGACAGGCCAGTGGGGGCCCTGCGCCGACTCCAGCCTCCCTTCCACCAGCACCCGTTTGCTCTGCTCCTAAGACAGACGAGCCAGAGGGTCCACCTCTCTGTCAGTTTGAGGAGAGTCCCAGCCTATTAGGCAACCTAACAAAACCCTGACGTTCCTGGCTGCTCCTTGCCTTAAACTAGAGATTCTGACCAGAGAAAGCAAGGATGGCTAGGGTTTAGCAGTGTGTCAAACACTGAGGGATTCCTTGCCACTGTCCAATCAGCCCTGGTCGGGAGGAGGAAGACGAAGGTGTTAACAAAGTTAGGTAACAAGCAGCCGGCAGCTTTTGGGTTGGCCAAAAAGTCCGTTCAGATTTTTCTGTAAAATAAAAGACACGTTTTTCATTTTCACCAATAACTTTATTGATTTGGATATTTTGAGTATGTCAGCTCACTCCTGGTATGGGCTTCTAGTGGGTAGATGCTGCTAAATATCTTCCAGTCCATAAGACCCACAGCAAAGAACTGTTTGGCCAGAATGTCAATAGTACCAAGGAACTCCGCAAACCCCTTCTGAGACATTTGAGCGGTCGCAGCACCTTCTCCATACACTGCACAAATCTTTTTTTGCATTTCAGTTGTGTTTTTACCTTTCTTGAAATAATAAAGCATAATAAGCCAAAAATGTTGCATATCTTACTTCCGTCTTCAATATTAAAATAGCTACACAAAAAGTCACCAATTGTGGTAAGTTTTTTTTAAAATGCACACTGACATGACAGCTGTCATAATGCAATCTAACAACATTGTTCCGAATGAAGTTAAAGACAACTGAGTGACACTAGAGCCATCGTATGAAAAAACACTGAACGCACTTTTTGGCCGGCCCAGTGCCTGTCCGCTGGCGCTGGGCAGTGATGAGGCCCAAGTGTGGAGAGAAAAGCCGGAGCTGTGTTGGCGCTGATTCTGTTTTCCTTTCCCTGTATCCTTCCCCACCCCCACCATCCACACGTCACTCTTTTTTGTTCCTTCCAGTCTGATTCCTATTGGGTTTGTTGTATTCTATTGTTAATTCAACTTTTATTTTCGAGGTCATTGTAGATTTACATACAGTTGTAAAAAAAAAAATTAGGCCCTGGTTGGCATAGCTCAGTGGATTGAGCGCAGGCTGTGAACCAAAGTGTTGCAGGTCCGATTCCTAGTCAGGGCACATGCCTGGGTTGCAGGCCACGGCCCCCAGCAACTGCACATTGATGTTTCTCTCTCTCTCTCTTTCTCCCTCCCTTCTCTCTAAAAATAAATAAATAAAATCTTTAAATATATATATATATATATATGATTGGCCAAAACAGTTCATTCAGGTTTTTGTTTTTGGTTTTTTTTTTCAGTAAGCTGGAGAAAGAGAGAAGCCTCAGTATGTGAGAGAAATATCCATTGGTTGCCTCTCGCACATCCCCAGCTGAGGGCCTGGCCCACAACCCAGGCATGTGCTCTGACCAGGAATCGAACCAGTGACCTTTTGGTTCACAAGCCCACACTCAATCCATTGAGCCATACCAGCCAGGGCCAGTATGCATTTTTTTTTAAGATTTTTATTTATTTATTTTTTAGAGAGGGAAGGGAGGGAGAAAGAGAGAGAGAGAGAAACACCAATGTGTGGTTGCTGGGGGTCATGGCCTGCAACCCAGGCATGTACTCTGACTGGGAATTGAACCTGCTACACTTTGGTTCACAGCCCATGCTCAATCCACTGAGCTGCGCCAGCCAGGGCTCCCAGTATGCATTTTTTAAAAACTGTATAAGAACTAAGTATCTTAGCTCTTCCCAGATTGAATATTCTACCATTCTGTGACTTATTTGAGTGAATTTCCAGTTACAAACATTTATTGATAAGCATGCATTTCCTGCCCTCACTTAGTCATATCATTTTCCAAATAGAAACACAGGACAGGATCTCACAGACTCACAGGACATTTGTTTTTTGTGTGCTTTGAAGGCGCAGAGAAGACACATGGCCTGAGGTCTCCCGGCCTGTTTAGTGGCAGAACCCAGACTAGAAACCAGGTTCTGAGACTCCCAGTTCAATGTTCTTTCCTTTTCCATCTGCCTCCCTTGTAGGGAGGGAGCAACCTGCTGCTCCCTCCTCCCTCTGGGGAGGGAGGGAGGGGCAGAAGACGGAGACTAATGGCATCCACTCATTAAGGCTTCTCCAACAACCTAGCAAATACTCCACCTCATGAAAGATTTCAGAGAAGACAGTGTTTCTGGCTGTAAGAGTTCATGGCCACGCCAAGATATAAGGCCATATGAATTGATGAGGGAAGAGTTTATGACAGTGTATGCTGAGGAGCTGACTGCGGACTATAGACAGCTGAGCTTTTGCCTGTGAGTAACAGAATTCTCAAGTAGGTTAAGGGAGACACAGAGTCTCAGTAAGTCCAGAGTAGGCAGCGCTAGAGTAAGAGCTCAACAACATCTGAGAGAACTCTTTCCATCCTTCCACTCTGACATCCTGGATGTGCTGGCTTGTTTCTTCAGGCTTGTGCCCTCGTGGCTCAACAGAGCTGTCACAGCTCCGGGCATCACATCACCACACTACCAGCCCCAAAATCTGTTCTGAGGAGAATTACCTAAGTACACCAAATAAAAGGTAGAGTAGATTTTTTAAAAAATCAACAATATGTTGTCTATAAAAAACCCACTTTTATATATATATATATATATAAACTAAAGAGCTGCAAAGAGATGTGCCACTTAAACACTAAGTATTAATAGCAAGGTATTCTCAGAGCAAGGAGGATTACCAGAGATAGAGGTCAATTCCTAATGATAAAAGAATTAATTTATGAAAAAGATTTAACAATTGGGGCTTTAAAATACATAAAAGCAAAAACTGGCAGAAATGAAAGAAGAAACTGGCAGAAAAACGATAGGCACATAAACATCTCTAAAAGCAACTACCAACCAACCTGACGTGAGTGACATTAAAAACCCTCTGCCCAGCAACATAGACCACACAAGTGCACATGTAACGCTTACCAAGGCCGGGCCTGTGCCGGCCATTAGAAGCATTAGAGTGTTCGCCAGTGGGCTGTCCAGCGTGATCTCTCGGCATCCGTGAGTGATGCGGGTGGGACGAGATGCAAACACCAGTCTGAAGATCGTCCGCATCAGTGTTTGCTAATGACATTGAATCAAATCAAAACACTCAGAGAAGATGTTTTGACAGCTAAACCAAATGACAGCTAAGAAATACTGACTTTCAGGTTTTTTTATTCACCTAAAGTACATGAAGAGATAGCATCTGAATACTTAAAGATATTTCCAGTGGACATTAAAAAAACAAACAAAAAAACAACCTTTAGCCCTGACCACTGTGGCTCAGTTGGTTAGAGCATCGTCCCGTAGAACGGAAGGTCACAGGCTGGATTCCTGGTCAGGGCACACGCCCAGGCCGTGGGTTCGCTCCCCAGTCAGGGCGTGTATGAGAAGGCAACCAGTTGATGTTTCCCTCTCTCATCATTGTTTCTTTCTCTCCCTCTCCGCACTCCCCCCGGCCTCCCCGCTTCCTCTCTCTCTCTAAAAAACAATGAAAAAAATGTCCTCAGGTGAGGATTAAAGAAAAAAACCTTTACTCGCTTAACATTGGAAATACTATGCATGTTCTTTCCAACCCTATGAAATGGGAAGTGGAGTTAACCATTGTTAGGTAAGTACTAAATGAGGAATAGAGTAGACTAAATAACTGTTTTTCAAATATTGGTGTAGGATTTCATGACGTGCTGAGCAATGGAAGAACCTCTGGTTCTGGGAGGGAGCGCAACCGATTAAATGGTTGGTCTTGGGATGAAAATGAGTGGAATGAACATCTCTATCCAGTGTGGAGAAGAGGAGACCCGAGGTGGAACGACTCCTGGAAAGGTAAGTCAGCGACTCAACCCAAACAGCTGCCATTGCCCGTGTACGTTAGTCCCAGGTCACGACTGGGAGCGCACGTGGCTGCTGTGTCTTCTGTGAGTGACAGTCCCCTACTTACCAAGTGGGGGCACCTGGATTCGGCAACCTTGCCTTTATGGCCACTTGTCACTTTCTCAACCACACACACACACACACACACACACACAGTTTACTCTCCTCAGAATTTACAAGTTTATCATTTGGGGAAGTTTTCACAGAGTGAGCAGGTTTAGTCTTAACCCTATTTAGCTAATGTGTGAATGCTCATCTTCGGAAGATCTAAGACTCCAGAGTCGTCTTGACCATCTCAAAATGTGGTTTGTCGGAAAGGGAATATATCTTTCCATTCACATGAATGAATGACTTCTTCGGTCATTGGTTGGGAAATTGAATAATACGAACTTTCAATACTGCTCTCCTCCATCTGAGCAGATTTTAAAGATTATTTTCAATGGCTATTCTTTCTGTGTTTAGAAATTTCTTTAACTGGTCTGACTTTTTAAAGTTTACCTTCTAGAATGCTGTACTCAGATAGCAAAAGTTAGGCATCCAGAAAAATAAATTAATTTACTGTGAAGAGACATAAGGAGCCTCGGGCTGGTCCTTATAAGTAGATTTAACTTTGCGTGACTCATCAGTGACAGGAAAGAGCATGTTGATCCCTGAGCTCCACCCTTCTCTGCCCCAGGAGGCCACGTGAAGGCCGTTCTGACCAGCGACTCCCCAGCACTGGTGGGCTCAAACATCACGTTTGTGGTGACCTTGGTCTTACCCAGGTGCCAAAAGGAAGACGACAGTGGCAACATAGTCTACGAGAAGAACTGCAGAAATGGTAAGAAATGTTACTCACATCACAGGGACGCGCTAGTTCTCCAAACTACTAGAGACCCATCTTAGAGACCTTGATCCTCGTAGATACAATACTTCTGCAATTAATGCAAGATGCTGCTGCCATCCCATGTCACCCTCTCCTCTATTGGATGACAGGGAGGGTGAGTGTGTGATCACACCCAGTCCCTTCATCAACATCAGCCAATGCTATTTCAGCAAACAGATGGCTCTTTGCTGCTTGGAGCCCTCCGCAGAGGCTACATTGTCATGCCTGCAGGTGGTGTGCAGGTAGCGTGCAGGTGGTTGGACAGCGAATACCTTGTTGACCCTCAGACTTAGGTTTTATTACTTGCAATTCTTTTGACCACTCAGAGAAGGGCCAGTTTGACCATTGTTCGCTGATCGGAGTAGTTTCTCCTCACAAGTATTTCTTCAGCAAGTGCTGAGTGGCTAGCACAGATGCTAAGATATGCATGCACACACATATGATTTGTTTTGTTCATCATTAAAGCAGATAAGCTCTTAGTTAAAGAGTGCAAATAAACACAAATACATCAAGAGAAATTATCTTGTTAGAACTGCACATTTCAAAAATTCCAAGCTAATTACTGAGATTCTTCAACTTGTAACAAGGCTATTAAATGCACTTACAATCTGATTCTATTACTTAGAACTTCTATTAAATTGTCAGTGTGTTCCTTATTAATTTATCATATTCCTATGAGGAAAACATTGTATAGAAAGGGTCTGATAATTAAAAATGGGGTATTTAATATTCCGTAGCATTTTTTTCCCTAAAAAAAGCTGGTTGTTATGAATGTTTCAGACAACAACCTAGCCCTCTGACCATTTTTTGTATGAGAGAGGCCTTGTGACTCGTGAAACTTTCAATAAACTATTTATCATCACTAGAAAGCCTAGGGGTCTTTGAAGAAATGAGTGGTTCCAGCTGCAGGAACGGGGAAGTACCCCGTGAGCCTGGGACATCGCTGAGCACGGGAGCATGTCACCAGGACACAGAAGTCAGCTGGAGGGGCTCCCACAGGCCCTGTGTGGGTCAATTTAAGAGTAAAAATACTAATGGTTGTACTAGATTGGTAAATAAAAAGTCTCTCCATGAAAGCCAGTGACATAAAACACCAAGAGGTAAGGAGTTGCTCCAGATGAAACAATATTGATCGTGACTTGTTTAAAATGAAGAATGTCATGCATACAGGAAAGTAGAAACCCAGGTACATTGAGTACCCAGGTACCTTCTATGTAGATTCAACAATTTAAATGTTCTACGATATTTGCTTGCTGTCTCCCTCTCCCCCTCCCTCCCTCCCTCCCTTCCTTCCTTCCTGAAACAAAATAGCCAAATGTGGCACGTGACCCTTGATTACTGGGCAGGGGTGGTAATGACGTTGTGTTTATGTAGAAGAATCCCTTAGTCTAAGGAGATGTGTGTTGAAGTCTCTAGGAGTGGGGAGTCATGATGTCAAACGAGTCAGGAAAAAGTGCCACAGATAGAATGTATATATCCAAATAAAAAGATAAAGCAATGCTCAGTTGGGTTTGGATACAGTTGTAATTTGGAGACCCAGTACGAAGATAAAATACAGGGTCCGGGAGGAGTAAGGAATGCCTGCTTGAGTGTGGTTGGTAGGGTAATAACATGGGCGTAATAATTTATAGTTTTAACTTGAACATTTCACCTAAAATGTCATACAGTGTGTTTGAGTGTGATATTGCTATGTTACAGAATTACATGCTTATGATTTTGGAATAAAAGATTTTGTAATATAAAAGGGATGTTATTTGTGCCAGACCCTGTATATTAAGTGATATCTCTAGATTGAACTTTCCTGAAAAAATTGCTCTATGTAAAAGTTACTGAAATTGAACACATACGTAGAAAAAATGCACAGGTCATAAACGCACCATAGGATGAATTTTGAACATTAGGGTTGTAGTTGTTCAACTGTATTTAAACTAGTTAAAATATCAAAAAGTGTCTAATTCAACGATGAGCATTGAGCATGCTGACCCAGATGACAATCACGGCTTCTCTTTCTCCGTTTAGGGACAGGTCCACCTTCGGACCCGTACGTTTACTACTGGACAGAGGGGGCAGAGGACGGCGACCAGGGAAACAGCGCCGACCAAAGCTATCACGTGTTCCCCGACGGAAGGCCGTTCCCCCACCACCACAGAAGGAGGGGGTGTAACCTCGTCTACATCTTCCACACCCTTGGTTGGACTTTTACAAACCCTCTTAGCTTTTCCTTGACCTTTCCTTAAAATTTACTTTTTATCTTTTCTTAGTCTATAGAATTAGTAATGCTGAGAGTTTAATCATAGTTACTCTGTTAACTTTAGCTGGAATGAAGGGTGAGAGATTAAATATGTGTGTATGTATATATACACACATAGATTAGTCTTGACAAATTTCTGGGACACCAAAGAATTAAAAAAAGGGAAATAAACGGATTCAGCTTTCTTTTCTTAAAACTAAACTACTCAATCTTTTTCTGTCAATGATTCTTTTTCTTTTTCAATGATTACTGCTTTTTCTAAAGCAGTAATCTTAAAAATACTAATAGAAATACTAATATTTATCTGAATGATACACAGGTATCTGTTGATTTTTTCTTTAATTTTTTATGTTGTCAAGTGAATTTTCAAGAATTAAAGAAACATTTTATTTTTGGAAAATGCAGAAAACTGCAAATGAAAAATAAGTCATCTGTAATTCATACCAGAGGTTATCACTGTTAATATGATGGTGTTTTCTTTACTAGTATTTCTTGATTAGGATTATAATGTATAGATATTTTTTTCTTAATATCATGAGTATCTGACTATATTTTAAAAATTCTTTATATACATTATTTCAATCACTGCAGAATATTCCATTGTGTAGAAATAACCTAATGGAACTTTTGCTATTCTTTTATATGTAGCCTACCCTTTTTTTCTTTTTTTTCTTTTAACCACAAATGGAATCCACTTTGCTGTATTACTGGTGAAGTGATTATCTTTAGAAGCAAATCTAGCTTATTACTAGCAAAGCTGCTAAGTCTTTAGTTAAAAATGTCCCCAGGTGCCACCTGGCTCAGAGGATTTGAAAATTGCTACCCATAATGCAGCCTCCAAATTCCTGAATATTTTGTCTTTTTTCGTACATTAGAGAAAGCTTGTCTTTCTTCAGTTAACTTATAAATCAAAACAAAATATTAACAGTACATCCTGATGGTACAAACTACAAAATATATGTAAATTTTATGCCCGTGTACTTAACTGAGTTGATGGAAAGCTAACCTTTTTCCATGCCTTTCATGGCCCACGTCTGCCGCCTCACCAAACGTCTGGTGTCCCCGACCTGTCATGGAGTTTTCGGGGAGTTGCTTAGGCTCACTGGCACTCCAGACCCTTTTTAGCCTTGTCACCATTCAATAATGTAACTCGTGAAGATGTCTTCATTTAAAATCAGCCTTCAGCCAGAAATTGCTGTTTTTCTAACAAACTGTTTAGAATTCCATCTTCCACTGAGGTCTCAGAGTTAGCTGATACTGTCCCTCAGCTAGGCATTGCCTTGGCGGCCTACTCTCAGCACCAGAACTACTAACATTTCCTCGTGGGTAGCTAACCGCTCGGAGACACCTCTCCCGGGAGACACCTCTCCCGCCCTGCAACCTCTGTCTGAACTGCCTCTGCCCGTCAAAGTAAAGGGGGAGTAACTATGGTTCCGAGGACGCAGCTACACTGTGGGCCTCAATAGGGTTAGAAATCTGTGAGCCTCTCCTGAGAGGAATTACTCTCACTGCTACACAGTGTTAGTTAGAGTTAGGTTAGGGTTGCAGAAGCAAAGAGAATGACTCTCGGGTGTTCTAGAAGGTGCATCTGGAACCACTCCAGTCCTTTTTACATGCACACACCATACCTTTCAATGTCAACCGCATGTCTACATGCAAATACTATTAGAAAGTGGAGGATTCTGGTCCCCTAAAATAATTTTTTAAAAAAGCTATTTGATGATATAGCTGAAATACTAATATTATTACAAAAATAAGGTAGATTCTTATATAAATTTTTAAAGGCTCCATTGACACCTCACCATTACTTTAAATGTATTTTCTGTGGGAAATAACACATATTTCAAGTGCCAGACCACTCACTTATAAAAAGTATTTGTGAACTAATGACTATGTTATCCCATTAAACAGCTCCATTCACTCTAACCAGCCCATGACGTCTGTTTACCCGTGGGTTGGTTTGATGAGGTCTCACATAAAAACGAGCACCATCGTCCTTTCTGAAGCCATCAGGACCACATGCCCCTCCTGTTCCTTCCCTCCCCAGAGCCGTCTCCAAACGACAGTAGCTAGTCGTGAAGAAACGCCTTCTTGTAACGATCATGTCATGTAACCAATACCTCAATGTTCCAACCTCTCGCAGGTCAGTACTACCAGAAACTGGGACGGTGTTCAGCGAGTGTTTCCGTAAACACAGCCAATATAACGCTTGGCCCTCAACTCATGGAAGTAGCTGTCTACAGAAGGAGGGGACGGACGTACGTTCCCATCGCAAAAGTGAAAGATACGTACGTGGTGACAGGTGAGAGGCGTGAACTCTGATGTGAACGAGGATGCGGCACTCAGCTCTGACGATGTCAGGGGGTTAGGACAGAGTTGGAGCCATGTTTTGGGTTAGGTTACGTTTCATGTGGACTCCTCAAACTTATGCTTAACGACGTATTCCCTCTGTTTTCCAGATTAGCTTGGGAAAACTCTAGAACACTTGCATAGGGAAAGGAAACATGATGCTGGATTATCCCGGATTTAAATGTTTAACTTAAAAGTGTTATTGAAATCATCCACTTAAAATCAAACAATCATGCATTCTTCATTTTTGTTTTTTGTTTTTTGTTTTTTATGTATCTTGTAGATCAGATTCCTGTATCAGTGACTATGTCCCAGAAGAATGACCGGAACGCATCTGATGAAACTTTCCTCAGGGACATCCCCATCGTATTCGACGTCTTCGTTCATGACCCCAGCCACTTCCTGAACCAGTCTGCCATTAACTACAAGTGGAATTTTGGGGACAATACTGGCCTGTTTGTTTCCATCAATCACACTTTGAACCACACGTATGTGCTCAACGGAACCTTTGGCCTTAACCTCACTGTGCAAGCTCTCATGCCCGGACCCTGTGCTCCACCTACACCCCAGACTCCGAAGCCCACTCAGTCTTCGTGTGAGTGTTTTCTGGGTGACCTTGAGGGGGCTGAGGTAGGGTGGGGTGGGGCAGACATTAATTGCAAAAAAAATTCATGTAGGTTAAGGTGTAAGATCACTAGTTAAAAGGATTGTGTACAGACTCTACAAAAATCTGTTGATATTTTAAAGCCATTTATCACTATTTTAAGCTTGTTAGAATGGGGAAGAAAGGAAAACGTGGTTCAGTAGCCTTCGAAAGTAAACGGTGGTGACTTATATACAGCTCTTTGACCTTCCTCATTTTCACTGACTTTGTTGCGTGTACTTTTCATCACATTTCTGTTCGTTTCCCATGTTTTAGAGCGATGAGAAGACACACTGGTCCTTGTGAACATGCAGGCCACCCCACTTCCCCCCCCCCACTTCCCTCTCCCATGCTCCTCCCTTCCCAGCACGAATCCAGCTTGTGCCCCATGAAGACACAGCCACAGTTAAAGCCACTTTCTAAATGACCCCCAAACAAATGTACCTTGAGAATATTCCTTGGCTATTGAGCTGGAAAGACTCTAAACGTATAAATTGTTCTGAATATAAGGCTTACTTAATTAAATCCCACCCTCTACTGATAGTATATGAGGACATCCAAGAAGTTCCTCAGAGTGTATTTTAGAAAGCCTTAGCTTCTCGCAGATGCCTCTGCCCTTCCTCACACGGACGTCAGTACACCTTAGCACTCCGGGACCCAGGGGATTGCGATAGGTTGATACCCTCACGTTGAACACAAGAGGGCGCCATCACCAAGCCCAGAGGGAACGCACCATCGTGATGTCCAGACTTGTGACTGTTTTTACAAAACAAAATTGTTAATTATAAATAATAAATTGTCATAATAGTGCTATTATTAAAATGAGATCTTAGTGGGCCAAAAATATATCATTCAAGACACTATAATGACTGATTTTTATTCTTTGTAATATTTTAAATTGCAAAATTAATACATGTTCCTTAGTAAAAATTCAAATATAGAACTCTGCAATAAAAGTGAAAGTTCCTATTCACACTCTCCTTAAATCCTGTTAATAGCTGGGAGTGATAATGGAACACCTCTGCTCACCAATAACTGTGAGACTTTTAGACTGTCAGCTTTGGAGCTGTGAGGCATCTGAAGAGGGAAAACATGGCTTTTGTCCATGTGGTTCGCCCCTTAATCTATTGTGCATCAGCCTTACTATTTCAAGTTACATGTCTTATGTATGTTACGGCATACCACATCTAAATAGATGTGCAGAGCAGAGGTGCACGCTGGGACAATGAAACGGATGTGCATTGAGAACTTCTTGTGGCAGACGTGAGAAGCAGGCTGTATGTGCCTCACCTCCTTTAAGTTTCACAGTTCAACCTGCTAGGTCAGGAAGTATTACTCCTGTTTCACAGATGAGTCCATGGAGGCTAAGGGAGGTTAAATGATATGCCCATGGTCTCCACCAGCTAAAAACAAGGGGCTTCATATTTGAGCCCAGAATACCAGCCTCCAAAATTAAAATACGACCTTCTCTTTTATGACCTGCTTTATTTCATCATGATGGTTATATTGTACATTTTAATATGGCTTCTACCTTTCCCTCACTTCCTGTGTTTAAACAAGATACGGGATTGTGTTTACTTACATGATTTAACAATTATAATGCCTTACAGCTCTCACATCTATATGAATCATTAACACATTTAGTTCAAATGTCTACAGCCATTTAGAAGTATAGGATTCTTGATGGTTTTCTAACAAGCAGGTAGGCAGGTGTTTATATTTTTGGTTCTATCATGTACATCTTTAACATTCTCAGCAACTAATCCAAGCTCTGTCATTCAAACTCCGCAGCCCCCCCTGACGACCGTCCCCTGCTGTGGGCGGGGACTCCTGGTGAACGCTGCCAGATCGACAGAGACGGTTACTTCACAACCAGGCTCACAATTGTCGGTGAGACTAGCAGGGGGAGCGTGTCAGAAGCTACCTCGGGCCACCCCTCACTCCATGGACTCTGGGGGGGGGGTTGGGGAGCAGGGGCACCCACTCTCTGTCCAAGGTGATACCGCACATACACAAGCAAAGACTCTACTAGTTTCTGGATTCCCGCCCACCTACCGCAGCCTCCCCACCCACATCCTAGCGTGAATGAGCGCCCCCATAAGGCCCACACACGGCTGAGCCTGCCCGGGAACTGGATCTCCGACCCAGTGCGTCCCAGAAATGGGAATGAACGAGCCTTGAAAGGCGGCCAGTAACAAGTTCCCCTGACTTCCGCTCCCTTCCCCTAGCCGATTTCACAAAGTCACACTTTGGGAAACGTACGTAGGAAACGTGAATGAGCAGGGCTACACACAGCTGTGCGTTTCAGCCACAGCCCGAAAGTGCCCGAAAGAAAAGACAGGTAGGGTCTCCCACCCCGCCATGCACCCTGGTTCTGGAGATGGGGGTTGAAACCCACGCTGTGCACCCTGGAGCTGAGCCATCTCACTGCCACGGAGAAGCTGGCCACGGCCTGAACCTGGGGCTGCACCCCCCAGGGGGACCTTTTCCTGAAACTCGTGCCCAGAGGGGGAGCTGCCTTCTAACACACACACAGGCTCCAGAAACAAAGCGGTAGGCTGGGCTGAAGAACAATCCAGTCTGACTTTGGAAGCACTGCGTGGGCGTGTCGGGGTAGGGATGGAGCAGGTGTGTCTGGTGTGGCGAGAAGGCTGTCTCGTTTTGTTGGCCTTCTGGTTGGTCAAGGGGTCGTTTGATTTGGGTTGGCTTCCACTGTATTTTGATGTTTTTCCTGGGGGGGGGGTTGTTTTGTCAGACGGAATTCTGGAGGTCAACATCATTGAGATGACAGAAGTGATGCCCGTGCCGCAGCCTGGTGACCCCTTGATGGAGTTTGTCGTGGCCTGCCAAGGGACGTGAGTACCTCGTTTCCGTCAGAGGAGCAGGTCAACGAGGCCCCCAGGGCCTCGAGTCCAGTCTCCCCTTCTCCGCTGACTTAAAGTCCTAGCCCATCAATAAGCCAGGACAAGGAGGAACCCTCCAGGGCCCTCTCAGGGGTGCATCTGTTTTGCTAGCGTTGAGCAATGTTCATTACCTTTAACTGTGGATGGAGTTAAATAATGATTATCGATCCAACACTTACTGTGTTTCCAACATTGTCATCTGTTGAATCTTCACACAATCCTACGAGCCTCCTCGTTTTACAGATGGGGCCACAGTGATTAGAGCACTTGCCCCCTTAGACACTGGGTGCCTGGCAGAACACAGTTCACAGACCACGGTCTGGCTCAGAGCACTGCTCGTCAGCCCCCTGCGGCCCCTCTGGAGTGCCGAGAGACCGGTGTGTCCTGGTGTTAGCTAGGAGCAGTGCCTGGTGATCCCGTCTCTCGTCATGACTTACAAAGGTCTTCTAATGCATTATTTTAGCTTCCTGTGGTTTGGTTATAACTACATGTAATAGACTAAATATGTATTAACTGATATGTGCATTATGTAGAGTCATTAAATATGCTAATGATTAATTGATCCACATACATGTAAACTGAATGATTAAAATGTATGTGGGTGCAGATGTATACATTAATGAATGGCAGGGGGCGGTATAAAAATGGGAGCTGAGAGGCTCTCCAGCTGGGGCGGAGGGGTAGAATGAGGATGGACAGGAACGAGAGAAAAACCTGATGAAGGGCGGGAAGCAGTGGCAGCAGCCAGGGTGCACCTCCGCCTCACCCCACGGCCCCTCGGACCCGGCATCAGAGCTCGGGCTCCGCCCCCAGGAAGTCTGCCCAGGAGTGAGAAGCAGCGGCTGAGACAGTCGTGTGTGGCCAGGTTGCCAAGAGGTTGTCAAACTCCTCTTGTTCAAGTCCCAGCTCCACCTCTAACTGCTGTGGGATCTTGGGCCAATCAATTACTTTCCCTCCCGGAGTGCTTTGTCCCCTGCTGCACTTGGGTGGTAATGTCACTTTCCTCAGAATGTCACTGAGAGGAATAGACGAGACCATGGCATGTATCTAGTATCTAAAACTCAGTGCCTCGTGCCCCGTACACACGGCGGGGCCAGCTGGCGTCACTGCTGTCGTCTGTGCCTCGGCAGGAACCCAGGCAGGGCCGGCCCTGGCATTTAGTGACATCACTGCCTGCGCCGTCTGCCTCTCTGGGCACTCGGGGGAGCCAGAGGTGGAGGGGATGACGTGGGCTTCACATGGCTTCCAAGAGCCCCTTGCCTTGGGGACAACACATAATTTCTTCCTGGTCCACGCCCAAGGCCTCACCTTCCAGAGGACCCAGAGGAAACAGTAGCTTACGCCCTGGCTTGCGTAAGGGCAGCAAGCAAATTATAGGTGACAATTCAATGCCACATGGTTTGAGCAAAAATAAGGTGGAGTTCAATTTTATAGAAATGTAATGAGTTTTCCCTTTAAAACCGTTACTTTCCTCTCTCTCCCTCTCTTGTGCCCTCGGCAGTCCCACTGAGGTCTGCACCACCGTGGCTGACCCCACCTGCCAGGTGGCCCAGAGCACAGTCTGCAGCCCCGCGGATGTGGGTGACGCGTGCTTGCTGACCGTGAGACGAGCCTTCGCTGGGGCCGGAACTTACTGTCTGAACCTGACTCTGGGTGACGATGCCAGCCTGGCCCTCGCAAGCACCCTTGTCTCCGTCCCTGGCAGAGGTGAGTTGTGTGTCATGCTTGTATGCGCATGTCACGCGGCAGCATCGTGTTTCCTGCTAAAGGTATTCAGAGCTGTGTTATCAACGTTTAATTTTATTTTGGTGCAGAATTCATTGAGCTATTGTTCATGTGGATTTGGGGGCTGGCATTAAAACCCAACAGCAAATCTGCCTAGGAGAGAGGAGGTGCGGGGGAGAAGCAGTGGCCAGAGAAAAGCGGTTGGATGAAAAACACTCAGCTGTGATCAGGGAGCAGCAATAACAGGAAATGATCCTCGCATGCTCGAATAGGTTTGCATTTCAAGGGGGAGGTGTAGACCGACCTCAAAAAATAACAGTGTTCTCCCATTGAAGTATGACAAAGGGAGGGCTGGCATCATGGTGTCACGAGAATCCACCTGGGCCAAGACATGAAGCCCCGAAGAGCGATGAGAAACCGAGTGGACTCCTCGCTCCCTTCGAACTTGCCACGAGTCCTCTCTGTCCCTTCCCAAATTCAACCGAGCATCTCACGGAGACCATAACAAACCAACTGACCTATTCCTCAGTGTTCACCTGGAAAACCAGTCCTGACCCCCCAATGCTGGAGAGGTACAATGTTTACAAGGTAGACAAGAGAATGTCATTGAGGAATTTTCATTTACAGCTGGCTTTCAGTGTTCCCCAACCTTAAAATGCAGTCTCTACCTGGTGACCCTAACTGAATTTCATTTGTAACCAATGGTGTTCTGAGTCACCACCTTCTCTCTAAGGAGAGCAGCATGGTGTAAGGGAGAGATGAAACTGCACACACGTGACAGCACTTGGTTTGCCCCTTAATTTGAGGATTGTCAGGTACAACCCAGTGACTAATTCACAAATAACTCCTTTGGACCTGGGTCCTCTCTCATAAGGTAAAATGTACGGAAACATATTTAGTCATTGATATAAAAAGGCAGCTTTAACCTCATTGGAAGAAAAACTTCAGTGACCGTACATGCAGTTATTTGTACAACGGCTTATTGTTGGTAAGCTCCCAGATGTAGATTCAAAAGCAAGAAAACAAGAGTACAAAGGAAGGAACTGTCCTTCCTGAGGGCGGGTGCACTGGGGCCTGGGACAAAGGGCCGGAGAGTCAGGGTGGGAGGAGGCAGGTGGGTCCCCCCCGACGCTGGCACCTCCAGGAGCCGCCGCCCTCAGTCCCCCTGTGCTGCCGGTCTTTGAGAATTGCCTTGAGACCCATAAGCGACTCTATGAAGCTTCCTCGGTGCTGGCAAACCACTGTTCTCTTATTTGGATTAGGGGCTTAGCTATTTGTTTAATTCTTCTTGTAGTGAGCGATAACTTTAGGTGTGACCAAAGCCATTTTCCAAATCCAAATAAAGGAAGTTCAGAAGGAGAGCTTTCATTTTTTAAAAAAAAGATTATTTATTTTTAGAGAAAGGGGAAGCAGGGGAGAAAGAGAGTGGGGGAAACATCGACGTGAGAGAGAAACATCAGTCGGGACCTGGCCTGCAACCCAGGCATGTTCCCTGACCAACGGGCAATCCTTCACTACACGGCACAACACCCAACCAAGCCACACTGGTCAGGGCCAGAAAGAGAGCTTTTAACCCAGTGGGACTGAACTTGATGATTTAGGCCACCAAAGTCAGAATTTCAGAAATGGATCATGGCTCCAAGGCAAACCCATAGACTTTCAGCTGAAATAACTTTCATTCATCGATTCAATGAACATTCATGAAGCAGCTGCAGTCCTTTCAACAAATGCTCACTGAGCACCTGCTCCATGCCCAGCACAGCCCTAGGCCCAGACGCACAGTCCCAGACAGAGTGGGGAACACGATGAAGACGACCCCGCCCTTCTGAGCAGAACCAGACCACAAACAAATGAGATGGCATTGTCAAGAGAATAAAACAAGGTCAGGTCACGGAGAGTGACTTGCTTGGGAGAGAGGCGACGAATGTGGGCTTTTTAGATTAAGAGGTCAGGACGAGTCCTGCCGACCCAGGAGCACCAGCTTGGTGAGGGGCCTCCTCTGAACTGAGGCCTGAGTATTCCCAAGGAGCGGCCCATTTCCATCCTTGCAGGCCACCAGGAGGGCTCGCTCGGGTTTTAGTCTGGGCATAAGGGGAGCCACTGGTGGGTTGGAAGCATGATCTTGATGGATGCTTTTAGAAGACCATGCTGACCGCTGGGTGCAGCGAGGATCGCTGGGGTCAGCCTGGAAGCAGGTAGACAATGAAGAGGTCTCCTCAGGGGAGAGGCTGGTGGCTGGGACTGCGCTGGTAGCAGAAAGGATGGAGGAAACACAGATGAACGTGCAGTTATACCTCGGTGATAGAGACAAGACTAGCTGGTTTGCTGGGTTCCAGGAGTGAGAGAAGGCATAATCCCTGCCTCATGGTTCTCACAATGTAGCAGGAGGGAAGTATGTGTATGGGGGTAATTGCAACACGTGATCGAGGCAAAGGAAGAGAGCAAGTAGAGCAACGACAAAGGAAGGGGTGGCCGCTGCCTCAGGAATGTCTGGAAGGTGTCCCAAAGGGAAGGACATGGGCAGCACAGGGTGTGGAGGTGTGAGAGAGTGTGGGGAGGGTGGGCAACTCCCAGGACTCTCAGCACAGCTGGAAGGCAGGCGGGAGGAGATGAGGCCAGGGGAGTGGGCAGGAGGATCACAGAGCCCTGCGTCACGTGGGCGCCACTGGGTCCGCTGAGACCTGAGCAGGTGTCTTCAGGACGTGATGTCCCTCTCCTGAGCCCTTCACACAGTGTCCCAGACATGCTAACTCATTCTCTAAATGGAAGACAAGCTGACCCGAAGACTATGTATTATTTAATGGGAAAGATTACCGAAAGCCCAGAGGGAGCCATACATCTTCTGAAAGCTCCCTGCGTCGTGTACTTAATTACATTACAAGCGGCATGTCCTCTGGGTGGAAGATGTCTCTAACAGGGTCTTTCTTCTGTTTCCAGACCCAGGGCACTCTGTGAGCATGGCAGGTGGCGCCCTGGCCTCTGTTGGCTGCTTGGCCGTGATTGTCGCTGTGATTGCCTTCCTGGTGTACAAGTAAGTTGCTGGTTCCAACACTTTAATTCACTATCCTGTATTGTTGCAAATGAGTAGCAACGTGCTGCACAAATGGGCCATTTTTCCTTTTTGGCTTTTAACCATTTTGCATGTGGGAGGAGAATCTTCCACTGAATGATGAATACCAAACTAGCATGTTGATTTTACTGTGGTTTCTTTTTAATCCTAAAAAATGCTACCAGATGTCGGTAACTTAACAAAATTGTGTTAGCTTAATATTTAACATGGAATCTCAAATTATAGTAAACAGGCACATTTCTTGTATGAAGAAGAGAAAATAAATATATTCCCATAAGACTTCAGTGTCTTAAAAGCCAGCGATTAGGTTAAATGGAATTACCTGTTTTGCACCGGGCATGTAAAAGGTTGTGGAAGATAATATATTCCAGCTGGAGATCTTTTTTTTAAAAAAAAATCTTTTTAACACGTTGTTTTCAGAAAACGCAAGGAATACAGACCAATAGAAAACAGTACTGGGATCAAAGGCAACGGCCTGAATGTTTTCCTCGAGCAAGCAAAGGTCAAGTTCTTTCCTGGAACCCAGGAAAAAGACCCACTGCTCAAGAACCAGCAGGGAATTCTTTAAATCTTCAGCCTCACTTCCGTGCGACAGTGCACTCACTCTTCAGCGCCGTGTGCGTGAGCTGCGCTAGAGTAGCTGACCGTGAACTCTTTTCCCCGAACGATTACTGTAAAGCATGCGCTGTGGGTGAGGGAGGTCCAGTTTTTGTACAGGTGAAAGGACATTTTAGAGGAGTGGAGAGGAATTACACTGCACACAGCCTCAGCTATGTTATATAATTGACAAATCAGCCAGCAGTGCTTTCTTTCATCATGATTTATGTTTCACTTACAATGTCTTCATACAACTAGTAGGATAGACATACTCTATCCAACACACAGGGGGAGAAGGGATGACTCATTAGACCCTGATCCAGGTGCCCAGAGGGAGAGGCCAGCTTTCCATATACACACATGCATGCACCCGATGAGCTGCATGCTCGTCCTTAAAACCCGGTTCCAAGCTAACTGAATGCTACTGCAATGAACACACATAGGCTCCCAAAAGAACAATGAACAGGCCAAGCCTCCACTATGATACGGATGATTGTTACGCTAAAATAATAACAATAATCTGATTGATAGGTGTGAATATTTTTGGGACAACCTGCCTGCCCACCTGTGTAAACAAATGACATGCATGCATCCCTTTACCCCGTGGACATTTATTTCGAGCTTCTATCAGGCATGTTGGCAGGCACACGGCCCAGCACTCAGAGTGCTGAGAGCCTTGTATATATATCTGGATTTCTGTATATGCTGGTCATTTATTTGAAATGACATATTATGATTTTCCAAAGAAGGGGGCCCCTGGTTTTCCTATGAGTTTCTCTAAATGACATATGAACGTGATTAGTAAGGGTTTTACCTCCATTTGTAACCAAAGCTATCTACCATATGTCACATGTGACTTTTTTTTACTCTCCTGCCTGAAAAATAAAGTATGAAAACAGATAAGATCCTGGAATGACAATGGTTTTCCAATTTGTCGTGTGCCTTTTATTTTCACGTATAATTTTGACACATAAAAATTTCTTCAATGCGATCCCATGGAGCACTGTGAATTTTATGTTTTTATTTATTTTATTTATTTATGCATTCATTAAAATTAATTTTTTAGTTGATTTTGAGGGGGGGAACATCCATTTGTTATTATATTTATTGATGCATTCATGGGTTGATTCTTGTATGTTCCCTGACCAATGATTGCACCCGAAACCTTCTCTTACAGGGACGATGATCTAACCAACTGAGCTACCTGGCCAGGGCAAGCATTTTATATTATTAAATATATATGAGGTCTGTCTGGCATACGTCCAGTCATTGTTAATATAATGAGAACTGCTGGTGTGACATTGATGTAACCTGGCAGCCAAGGAGAGGGGACTGGAATGCGCATGTGTGAACAATGACAATTTTACCGTACTAGTCAGTGGGGTCAGTAGATGCTGTTGAATGAGCATGTGTACTATGTGGCTGTCATATTCAAAATGACTAGGCAAGTAGAGCAACAGATTCACATCAAATTTTGCATTAAGCTTGAACATTCCTCCATGGAAACTATTTGGATGATTCAGAAGGCTGCAGATATGGGCAACTGGTGATTGGCAGCTTCATCATGACAATGCGCCCACACAAAGATATAAAGAAGTTACATTCATTTGGACAGGTAGGAGGGCAGAGCAGCAGAGACGTGGAACAGGTGGTCTCACACCCACATGTGGTGCATAAAATCAGGAGAGGTATCATGGGAGCAAGGGACCCCAGCCCCACACCAGGTTCCCCAGCCCAGGGTTCCAGTGACAGGAAGTTCCCATAACTCCTGGCTGTAAAAATCAATGTAAATTGAGGTGGTGGAAGGAATTATGGGATTCTCAGGCATCTCCCCTTTAAGGGTCCTCAATGGACTTAGGACTTATGCAGACTCATTCTCTTTGGGCTCCAGCTCCCGGGTTGCAGCTTGAAGGACACCAGTGGCATACTGAGAGAAACTGAATTGTCTGGCATTAGGGCAAGTACTGTGAGACAGCTCCCTCCCAGACAAAACTCCAGAGACCAGGCATTGGCCATTGGCCACTGTGCCTTTTCTGAGCCCTCTCCAACACAGCCACAGAGAGGTGACACCATATCTGAGACTCCATCAACCTGGTTCACACAGGTTGCCCTGCCCAAGCAATTTCCTAAGGCTCTGCCCCATCCAACTTACCAGTGTATTTTTCTGTAATAGGCCAAACTACTAACACAGGGAGTCAACACAGCTCTACTTGATACATAGAAACAAACACAGGGAGGCTGACAAAATGAGGAGACAAAGAAATATGACCCAAATGAAAGAACAGAACAAAACTCTAGAAAAACAACTAAACAAATGGAGATAAGCAATCTGTCTGATGTAGAGTTCAAAACAATAGTTATAAGGATGCTCAAGGGACTCCTTGGGTATTTCAACAGCATAAAAAAGGACCCAAGCAAAATAAAGTATACACTAAGTGAAGTAAAGGAAAATGTACACGGAATAAACAGTGGAGTGGATGAAGCCAAGAATCAAATTGATAATTTGGAACACAAGGAAGAAAAAAATTTCAGAACAGTAAGAAGAAAAAAAAATCAAGTAAAAATGAGGATAAAGTAAGGAGCCTCTGGTACAACTTCAAAGGTACCAACATTCAAATCATATGGAGGCCAGAAGAAGAGAAGGCAAGAAACTGAAAACTTTTTTGAAAAAATAATGAAAGAAAACTTTAATTTAATGAAGGAAATAGACATACAAGTCTAGGGAGCACAGAGAATCTCAAACAACATGAACTACATCAAGACACATAATTAAAATGCCAAATGTTAAAGGTAAAGAGAATCTTGAAAGCAGCAAGAGAAAAGCAGACAGCTATTTTCAAAAGAGTTCACAGAAGACTGTCAGCTGAGACTTCTGGCCAACATGGAGGCATACGTAGACACACTGTGTCTCCTCACACAACCAAAAGAAGGACAACAACAAATTTAAAAACTAAACCAGAACTGACAGAAAATCAAACTGTATGGAAGTCTGACAACCAAGGAGTTAAAGAAGACATACTCATCCACACCTGTAGGAGGGACAGAGACAGGCAGCTGGGTGGAGGGGACTCACGGCAAGGCAGCGGCTGGCAGACAGGGCAGTCCCACATTCACGTGCAGATAAACTGGGAGGAACAACTGGGAAATGAGACAGACCCACAACCCAGGGTCCCAGCACCAGAAATAAAGCCTCACACCTCTGACTGAAAACACCTGTGGGGGTTGAGGCAGCAGCAGGAGAAACTCCCAGCCTCACAGGAGAGTTTGTTGGAAAGGTCCACAGGGTCCTAGAATGTACACAATCCCACCCACCCGGGAATCAGCACCAGAAGGGCCCAATTGGATTGTGGGTAGTGGGGGAAGTGACTGAAAGCTGGCAGAGAGCAGAGCAAGTGGCACTGTTTCCTCTTGGACCCCTCCCCTACATGCAGTGTCACATCCAGTGATGTGGGCTGTCCCACCCTGTGAACACCTAAGGCTCTGCTATATAACAGGTACACCAAGAGGGGGAGGAGAAAAGGAGGAGGAGGAGGAGGAAGAAGGACAAGGAGAAGTCCCAAATGACAGAACAGTTCAAAGCTCCAGAAAAAATACAACTAAGCAACAAAGAGATAGTTAACCTATCAGATGCACAGTTCAAAACACTGGTTATCAAGATGCTCCAGGAACTCACTGGGTACTTCAACAGCATAAAAAAGACCCAGGTAGCAATGAAGGTTGCATTATGTGAAATAAAGAAAAATCTACAGGGGACCAAGAGTGATGGCAAGGAAACCAGGACTCAAATCAATGATTTGGAGCCAAAGAAAGAGAGAAACATTCAACTAGAACAGAATGAAGAAGCAACAATTCAAAAAAATGAGGAGAGGCTTAGGAACCTCCAGGACATCTTTAAACATTCCAGTATCTGAATCATAGAGGTGCCAGAAGGAGAAGAGGAAGACTAAGAAATTGAAAACTTATTTGAACAAATAATGAAGGAGAACTTCCCCAATCTGGCAAAGGAAATAGACTTCCAGGAAGTCCAGGAAGCTCAGAGAGTCCCAAAGAAGTTGGACCCAAGAAGGAACACACCAAGGCACATTATAATTACATTAGCCAAGATTAAAGATAAAGAGAGAATCTTAAAAGCAGCAAGAGAAAAGGTGACAGTTATGTACAAAGGGGTTCCCATAAGACTATCAGCTGATTTCTCAAAAGAAACCTTACAGGCTAGAAGGGGCTAGAAAGAAGTATTCCAAGTCATGAAAGGCAAGGACCTACATCCAAGATTCCTCTATCCAGCAAAGCTATCACTTAGAATGGAAGGGCAGATCAAGTGCTTCCCAGATAAGGTCAAGTTAAAGGAGTTCATCACCACCCAGCCCTTATTATATGAAGTGTTAAAGGGACTTATCTAAGAAAAAGAAGATCAAAAATATGAACAGTAAAATGACAACAAACTCACAGCTATTAACAACTGAACCTAAAAAAAACCCCACAAAAACAAAAACTAAGCAAACAACTAGAACAGGAACAGAATCACAGAAATGGAAATCACATGGAAGGTTATCAGTGGGATGGTGAGAGGGGTAGAGAAAGGAAAAAGATACAGAGAGTAAAAGATAAGTAGCATAAGTGGTAGGTAGAAATAGACAGGGGGAGGTTAAGAATAGTATAGGAAATGTAGAAGTCAAAGAACTTACATGTATGACCCATGGGCATGGACTAAAGGGGGAGAATGCAGGTGGAAGGGGGTATGCAGGGTGGAGGGGAATAAAGGGGGGAAAATGGGACAACTGTAATAGCATAATCAATAAAATATATTTTAAAAAAGACTGTCAGCTGATTTCTTAATAGAAACTTTGCAGGCTAAAAGTAACCGATAATAAGTATTCAAAATGATGAAAAGCAAGGACCTACAACGTAGATTACTCTATCCAGAAAAGCTATCATTTAGAATAGAAGATCAGACAAAGTGCTTCCCAGGTAAGACAAAGCTAAAGGAGTTCATCATCACCAAGCCATTATTACATGAAATGTTAAAGGGACTTATTTAAGAAAAAGAAGATGGTAAAAACTATGAGCAATAAATGGCAATAAATTCACAACTATCAACAACTGAATCTAAAAAACAAACCTAGCAAACAAGCAGAACAGAAACAGAATAATGGATATGGAGATCATTCTGGGGGGTTACCAGAGGAGTGGGAAGTGAGAGAATAAGGGAAAAGGTGCAGGGATTAAGAAGTTCAAATTGGTAGGTACAGAATAGGCAGGGGCATGTTAAGAACAGTATAGGAAATGGAGTAGCCGAAGAACTTATATGTACAACCCATGGACACAAACTAATGGAGAGGGTATTGCGGGAGGGAATAGGGGGTACTAGGTGGAAGTAGGCAAAGGGGGAAAAACTGTGATCACAGTAATAGCAAAATCAATAAAATATATTTTTGAAAAAGAAAATAAAGGTTGGAGAATAGTTCTAAATCATAGATTAGCAAACATTTTCTGTAAAGAGCCAGGTAGTAAATATTTTAGGTTCTGTGAGTCCTACAGTTCTACTGCAACCACTCAACAGCTACCGTAAACAGAGATGGAAGAACAAGTCCCAGCAAACACCCATTTACAAGAGCCAGGTGGGAGGCCAGACATGACTCACGGGCCATGGTTTGCTGACCCCTGTTCCAGAGTAAAACAGAGAGACACAGCAACTGACAGCAATTTAGGAGTCTACATTGGATCCTGAATGGGAGGAGGGGGAAAAAAGCTATCAAAGATATTCTTGGGACAAGAGAAATGTAAATATATACTGGATGCCAGATGGCTTTAACAAATTATTGTTAATTTTTTAAAGGAATGGTGAAGAATTTTGTAAGGAGTGGTAGAGATCAACATTTAGTCTCGTGCCTTCACTTCATAGGTGAAGGCACCTATGAA